CCTGTCCCGATCCAATCTGAGATGGCAACATAAAGGCAGACGACTGTACTTCTCAACATCACAACTGGGCATATGATGGCACATCAATAATTCACATGTCTGTCTGTGTTAGACTATAAAGAGCAGAGCAGTTTCCAGGGTCGCTCGGAGTCTACGGCCAGGCCATGCCACACTGCACACCTGCCATATCAGGGGCCAAGACTGATGCTGGATACTGATATCCAACAGAACTATGCACTCTCATTCAAATGATAAACAATGCTATTCTATTACTAGATTACTTAGTGCACTGTTCATTGATATTCAATTACTCTATTATACTATTACTCATTGTTTTGACTGAACACGAGACATTCAGACAGGGCAGCCAGGATATGGCCTATGTGCCTGTCATTGTGTTTGTCAGTGATGATCAAATACAGATTTAGGACTGATTTGAAAGCGTGTGAATTGGTGTTAAATGAAAATGATGTAAATGTTATAATGGCTGCTATATATTATGACATTAGTCACAATGGTGGTGTGCTTTTAGATGACTGACTGTTTTATGATGGTTAACGGGTAGTGATGGATATTGTTTCCATGAAAGTATCACTAAAATTTTGCTGCAATTAAAATATTTCTGACTTCCATAGCCTACAAGTATATAATTCTATATTAATCCTTTTCTAGTCATCCATAATACATATATTTTTATCAGGTAATTTAGAAACGTTAGGTTACCTTGCAAAAATATCAGATGCACAAATACTTTCCTAACCTCGACAGATTAAAAAATGCAAGTTGTCTGACCATTTGGCAACAGATTATCATATGTCTGCATTAATGGTGGCTGCATGGCTCTTTGCAGCTGCAGAAATATTTATGACAGGTCGCGAACCTCTTTCGCCGTCTCTATGCAACCGGGATTATCTGAGCATTCATCTGAGGCTTTTGCTGCAGAAATGATGCAGGTGGCATCAGAGAAAGAGGAAAGTACAACACACACCTGCTGCCAGTGCATGACACGAATGATGTGAAGAGAACATACACGTGTTCTCCTTTTGGTGTAACCATATTTTGAACATTGACGTTGATTACCAGTGTTGGGGAAAGTTACTTTTAAAAGTAATGCATTACAATATTGCGTTACTCCATAAAAAAAGTAACTAATTACGTTACTTAGTTACTTTTTATGGAAAGTAATGCGTTACGTTACTTTTGCGTTACTTTTAAAATCTGGACAGGGCTTGCTTGTTTGTTTTTCAAACAAAAAAGTACTATTTTTGGCAAATATAAAAGCCTTTTCACACCAAAAGTGAAATGAATAAGCCTCAGGCTGAAGGGAAAGTAAATTTACGTCCGTACAGTAGAATGCAGAAGAAGAAATTTCAACACACTTCAGCAATAAAAAAAGTTGTCTAGAGTAATATTTGCTTATTAGTATGGTTGAACTGGATAATCGAAGGTCAGAAGCGAAGACATTGGTTAATAGAATAGGATTAAATACATAAAGGATATTTGTGTTGTTTAACGTTTAATTATAGCAGGTTTGCGTCATATTCTGAGTTGCATTATTTTTATTCATTTTGAGGAATACTGAATCGGTGTTTTTTTGTGTGAGTGAGATGAATTAATGCATATTCATATTTATTTTACAACTACAGTAACATCTTCTGATTTCTCTCAACATGAGGACAGGAGAGCTGTCAATCAATAAATTGAAAAAAAGTAACTCAGATATTCTCTTGTAAATTAAAAAGTAATGCGTTACTTTACTAGTTACTTGAAAAAAGTAATCTGATTACGTAACTCGCAATGTACACACAATTTTGCCTTTCCAGCAGCATAAATACTAGTAAATAGTAAATACCGAGACTGTAGGAGTGTTATATATTTTGATTAATATATCAAATTAGCTTTTTATTCCCCCCAACCCCCCCATTTTTTTACAGTTATATTTTATGCTTTTATTCAGACAGGACAGTAGCGATGAGACAGGAAAGCACTGGATGGGGAGCAGGATGGGATTTTTAATTATAGCAGGTTTGCGTCATATTCTGAGTTGCATTATTTTTATTCATTTTGAGGAATACTGAATCGGTATGTTTTTTTTTTGTGTGAGTGAGATGAATTAATGCATATTCATATTTATTTTAGAACTACAGTAACATCTTCTGATTTCTCTCAACATGGGGACAGGAGAGCTGTCAATCAATACATTGGAAAAAAAAGAACTTGCGTTACTTATTTGAAAAAGTAATCAGACATTCTCTTGTAAATTAAAAAGTAATGCGTTACTTTCCTAGTTACTTAAAAAAGTAATCTGATTACGTAACTCGCGTTACTTGTAATGCGTTACCCCCAACACTGTTGATTACCACGGGCAATAAAATGTCTCACTATGACAATTATAGGGTTCTAAAAAGGAATTTTACAGGTATTTTCAGGCGTAATCTGTTCAGTATGTCTTGCGTAATGCAAACTGTCATTTGGCGCCTTCATACAATCTTCATACTGTTTCAATATATATATATATATTATAACACTAAGATTTTTGTGGCGTGTTTGCTATTTAATTATGATAAATACTAAACTTCTCGCGTATCGACACACTGTTGCATACTGATCGCAATGGAAAGCTGCGTACGGTTGCCTCCTCAGGTTAACGTGCTCGATAGCATCTATTTGGCCACCGGTGACTAACTTTTGTAGTTGCTGAAACATTTACAAACACTGAAATGTATGTAAGCTTTTAAAATACTCTTAAGACCCACATCCACCCTAAGACCTTTTGTTTCGACTATACCCCGGCTGGAAAATCCAGCTGTTGACTGGGTTTTGGAACCTGGAAGCTAGTTTCTAGCTGGTCCTAGCTGGCCATTTGCTGGAGCAAACTAGTAGACTGTTTTAGACCAGCAACAAACCAACCACCAGTTGGTCCTACTGCTGGTTTTGGAATAGGGTGGCTATTAATGATCAATTATTTAACCGTGTTCCAAATCAAAGCTGCCATTAAATGGATTTCCCAACATGGGTTGGAGGCACCCTCCATAAGTCGCACCCTGAAATATCTACAAAAAAACATTACCCAGTCTTCGAAGTGTTTGCTGCCGTTTTGCAGCAACTCCTCGAACTGAATGGTGCAGTTGGCTACAAAGTCGTCGTAGCCAATCGGCGCGTCGTGAAACACCGACAGCTCGATCTTCCGGCCGTCGTGCACCTCCGCCACAAACTCATCGTGCCAGACGGGACTGTTGGTCTTCTGCTTGGTCGAGGTCTGACCCACGCGAAACTCATCTACGTTGAGGGCGATGTAAGTGTCCAGCAGGAAGGTTTGCGTCTTGGGGCCAACGGCGTGTCTCAGAGACCAGGCTGTGGGCTTCAGGTCCAAAGCCTCGCAGATCTTAATCTTCAGCAGACCGTTAAAAATCACCATGGCCACTTTTGAGAGCTTTAGTAACAATATTCCACTTCAGCGCCTTGTTAATTATTCAACCAGTTTAGGCTATATGTCACGGTCCACCGGTTTGTATTCGGGATTGTTTCTCCTTAGGAAATAACAGTAAATGCCCTTCGTCGTCCTCGTGGATCTGCATGCAAAGTGTAGAAGGTCCAGGCAGAAAGGGAATCTATTGCTATGACCTACGGACAACCTGCATGCGATCTTGAAGCTGTCCAAACACCGCTGTAGGCAGTCAGCAATGCAAGTTGGAGCGAAAACGGACAGCTACAGTGTATCAGCAGCGATAGGACCAGCATTCCACACCTCAAAATATGCCAGAAATATATGCTGGATCTCCTCAGGGTGAGCAGCCTGTTCCCTCGTCTGGCTGGAGCGCTGGATGTGTCTCCTCCGCGCATTGGGAGGAAAGTTATCCCCCGCAAAAGCGTCTTTCGATTCGCCCCAGACAGGAGAACCAGTGTTTACAAGGGTTTCGTACTCACTTGATTCTTCCAGGATCCTTGTTTGTCCGTCGGTACTCAGTTTCCTGCAGACCTGCCTATTTTTCTCCCGACTGTGTGTGTCTGAAGGCTGGTCCAGGAAATGCGCAAAACACGTCAGTTAGCGCGCGGAGAGGGCTGAGTGAGTGCGGCACTGGAGCGGCGCTGCTGGACCCGCTGCTGCTGCTGCTTCTGCTCTCTGGCCAAGCATCATTCAAGGGCTGTAAAGATAAAGCGTGCGTGTGAAACCCAAATGTGATTGATGCGCCATGCAATGCATATGACCATGCATACTGTATGAAGACCGCCGGTGTCTCAATTCTTAGTCATTTTTAGTTATTTATATCATTAATGATTATTTGAAATGACATGGTCTGCCCCTATAATGCAATTGCCATTTCAGTAGCTATAACTATATTATTGGTCTTTAAGGATGTGATCCTTATCTTGCGTAAGGTTGTTTACAATGATTTACCGTGAGAAGTGCAGTGGAAAAGAAATGTACCCGTTTTTCTCCACCACATCGATTTACTGATGAAGACAATTGAGTGGAAACTCTGAAAATTCACAAAGTCGAATACAAATGACAAGAGTTATTGTAGCTATAGTGGATGCAGACGAAGATGTTTTGACATAATGATAAACATTTTTACAGTGTGTCATTTGAAAGAAAAAGCAACGGTAACGCTTTACTTGAAGGGGTGTGCATAAGACTGGCATGACACTTTCATAATCATGACACATGTCATGAATATGAAGGAGGTTTTATGCATGTTTATGATAACTGTCATTATGTGTCATTCGCTCAGTTATATCATTTTTAATGTGAATATGACATTATTTGACCTAACCCTACCCCTACCCTTACCCCTAACCATAGCCCATAACAAAGACATCTCAAACAATGTTATCTTTGCATTAAAAATGACATAACTGAGCGAATGACACTTAATGACAGTTGTCATAAACATGCATAAAAAACCTTCATATTCATGACATGTGTCATGACATGATTATATAGGTGTCATGTCATGATTATGTAGGTGTCATGTCATGGTTATGAAGGTGTCATGTCAGGCTTATGCACACTTCTTCAAGTAAAGTAACCAAAACTACTTCAACTAGATGAAGACATGCTTTTGTATATCATGTACATTAAAATGTGTACTAAATGCGACCATTTGTAACACTAGGTCTGAGGAAAGACTTTGGACATAACTGAGGACAAGGTTGTACTTGAAAATGTGAAATATTGAGGGTCCACCTTCTCAACATCATTAGTTAACCAAAAGCGCCATCTCGTGGATGGAATTACTAATAAAGCGTCAGATGGTGTTTTATGATCAAATATGCATAAAATATTTAGAAATCGTACTGGATGGCGTGACATTCATTTAATTTATGTCAGTGTAGCGCACTATGGAAAGCACATACACATTTCTTAAGCTTGTTTTACAAATGCTTCCCTGTTCTTTCTCTTTACTTGAGGTGCTTCATAGTGTAGAACATTTTATTTAGGAAACGGGTTTTGCTCAGAGTGAATAATGTGACTGGTGAGCTCTGTCTGTATCATTTGATCAACTTTAGTGATAAAGATTAAAATGACATTAAGTGAATTCTAAGATCCAGTAGATGGCAGTGTCCTTATAGAAGTATTATGCTGACAGTTAATATATCTGCATTATATTGCTTTGCCTTCTAAACTGTTAGCACCTTTTGAGTAATGCAAGTAAATTATATATGAGCATACATACATATCTCAGTCTCAAATCTACTAAATGAATCAAGTGTATAATTTAAAAAGATAAAAGAAAGAAAGATGAAAGTATTACTGTAACGAGGCTGACGAGACGTGAGGATCCAAATGCAAAGCTTTAATTAGACAGGAGACGTGGTCATAAGACAGGCAGGGTCAGAACACAGGCATATGGCGGGCAAAACACAAGAACAGTCACAGGGCTAGCGAAGGTCACCGATGGGCAGACAGAATCGGAAGGGACAAGACTAAGGGAGAAATCCAAGAAACCAGGCAAAGATCAAGAACCGAGAAAAGGGCTAAGGCTAAGGCAAATCACTAAGGCTCCGTAAAGTAGCTATCTGGGGAAAGACAAGCGCTAAACAATACTCGGCAGAGGGAAGGAATCAGAGTGAGTGTTACATAGTGAGGGAGTGATATGAAACAGCTGTGTGCAATCAGTGTAAACAGCTGTGTGCAATCCGTGCTGAGTGCAATCAGTGCAATGCATGATGGGAAATGTAGTCCGGGGTGATGTGCAACAGTGTGTAGTGCGAGAGACAATGAAATTGGAAGTTCATGGACCGGATTCGTGACAATTACGAAGAGCCAAAATACAATGTATGAAATGAGCATTAAAAACTCCATTATTGCAGCATGGTTTATTACAAATGCTTTTACTCACCCATTTTATCTTATAACCCACATTCTGAGAACATGTGGCTAAAGTAATGCTTGTATCCTTTTATTTTTTATGTATTCACACTGAGCAAGTATGTTTGCTCAGTTCACAACACTAGATTTGCAGCGAGCAAAAAGGCTGAGCCACTGGAGAAAAGCTCTTTCAAATATTAATTATTGAATCGCATATCACTCTATGAATAAAAGCACCTGAGACAACACTCATTTAGTTGAACAAGAACTGTTTTTATGAATTTAATTTTTATTAACGTAAGCACAAATATAAGTCTTAGAATCAGTGAAGTGCAAAATTATGTTGAATAATACTGGGATAATACTATTAAAATAACATCACATATACATTAGCATAAAACAGATTTTACAAATCAAAGGATGACAAAGTCTTTGTAAATAGTTAAATGGGAATGGCATACACTTTAGAAAACTCTCCATTTAATGCAATTCATTTTGAGCTGAGTGTCCTTTTGTTTCAGATACAATAATTAGATGAGTGATGTCTGCTGGAGGATGAATGGTGATGTTGTTTCAACATCAGGACTTTCCCCTGAGGCTGATTCTCAGTCTGCAATGACATTAGTCAAAGATGTTCTTGCTCACACTATATGGCCTCACATGAGTCTAGCATGTGGTGTGACTCCAAATGATGACATCACCAGCAGGAGGAAAATGAATGCCCCTTTGAGACACTGATAGTGCAGGGTTTATGAGTGTGTAGGCTCTGTGTTGTAAGAACAGAAGCGGTCATTTAGGGCTTTTTGAGGGTCTTAAAGCTTACTTCATTCCACCCTCAAAATGCCAGCGTCAGTGTTCATATATTTTGAATTAGTGCGTTAGAAATCACTGTTGGCAACTGCCAATAGTGGAAATCAGACCTTCGCGGACAATGCTTCTTTGTTTGGACATAAATAGACACATGAAAGGTCGTTCTGAACAAACTTAAACCCCATGACCAGAATCATATGTAACATGGCACATTCAATTTTGTTCATCGGTTTGTTTTACGTAAAAAAAAAATAATAATAATAAAAAAACAACTCAACATTCCCATATGTGAATCAGAATACTGTATATTGTCTAATAAATCCTAAAATTGTCCTACATTTGTGAACATGTTTGGCCCGATGGATATTTAGTGTCTCTTAAACACATTTTTTTGCACTCTGACTACACAGTAAGGAAAAGACGCATTTATTAAAATTGTTTTTTTTTTTGTAGGAGTATTACATGTATTTGAATTTTGCACCACTTGATTGTTTTTTATTTTTATTTTTTTTAGGGTTAACAGAAATGTAAAACTGTAAAATTACTGGATATGTCCTGGTAGAAAATTACCAGTGTTTTTTTTTTTTTTTTAGTGTAGTGTAGGTACAACAGTGGA